CTATTCTTCCTTTTCATATTTGCTTCCAATTTCCGATGCAGTGTGTTCTTCAGCCATCCTCTTTTCCTCTTCCCTTCAGGACTCCAAGTCAGGGTTTGCATCATGATGCAGTTAGGTGATTTGCGTAATGTATGTCCTATCCCTTTCTATAGTCTTTTCCTAATTTTCTCTTCAGCTGGAAGCTAATTTGTTCTCTCCCACAGTAAGCTGTTACTGATGGTGTCCGGTCAATAGATGTTGAGTATCTTGCGTAGACAACTGTTTATAAGTACTTGTACCTTCTTGATGATGATTGTAGTAGTTCTTCAAGTTTCTTTAGAGTATATATCTACAATAAGCATTGAATGTTTTATCTTCCACTAAAGCTTACTACTCAATTTCATTCAAACTTAACAATAAGAACCAATATAACTTTTTTTGGTCATATATATGATTCATCTATCTGTTTACTCGATACTAGATTGTATTTGAGTTAGAAGTGATAATTTACTATTTTCAGAGAGAGGTTTTGTGGCTATTATAGTAATTTAACAGTTGAATTTAAGAGTCACTTGAAGCTAGACAACCATCGAGAACCTGGGAGCACTGAACAGCAGTTCCGTCCTATTGTGGAACTCCTCAGCAGTGCGTATCAGCGATCCCTCCTCGCAGGGTTCGAACCCAGCACCTATCGGTCTCGTATCAATCTCTTTACCAACTAGATCTCTGAGTCTGCATCCAATGGTGTTAATTTCTAACTTCAACTAATCCACAAAATTGGGCAACACATCCACCATTGTTCTCAGTGCGTTACTATCTCACAACAGACCTGGTTGAATTCCACTGGTCACTGCTTATTACTAGAACTCCAGGATATACCTCTTGAAGCCAGTCACAAGTGGGCATATGTTAGTTAGTATAATAAATTATAATGACTTTTGTATTTTGTTTTCTTTTTCTTTTTCTTCTTTGAATAGCTTCTACAATTGCATACTATTCCACATGGATTTTTCGGCAGTGATGATGGTTTTATTGAACGTGGTAGTGTACTTGTAGTTGAATCACTTTTAAATAATTTACAAGGTGAAAAAGTAGAATTATTCATTAAACGTACACCAGATGGTAATACATTTGTTGGTCATAAAGATCTTAAAGAAGAATTATGGGTAATAATGAATTTTTCTTTATTGTAAATGATACTGAGTAATGAATTATCTATTCATTATAAAGAGAATGTCTTTATTATTATTGTTCGTACAGATATACAGTATATCTAGTGTAGTGTGTACTTGTAGTGGCTGTGCTTCGTTGACTAATCACCCTCGTAACCGTTGCCATATAATCCTCAACGGTGTTTGAAATCAGAAGGCAAAGAGAAGCAGCGACTACAGTTTAATTAGCAGATAGCTCAGACCATAAAGTAGAGAGGCAAATGAACGAGTCAACGAACCGAGAGTGTGTAGAGTGTAAACGTACATGTATACATATACGGAAATGAATGGATCATCGAATCAATTAAGCAGCTAATAACAAAGCTGGCAGAATGAATATATGCGTAAGAGGTAAACAATGTTCAAGCATACATATTTCATACAAGCACAACAATAATAAAGGTACAATAAGTTTTTATAGTACGGATGACTTTTTCCGCTAAATAAGTTAACAAAAGGGTTTAACTGAGTGAAATGAGAACAAACTCAATTGCACGTGAGTTGCTGTATACTACTAATATCGACAGATATAAGTAGTGTGTATGAACAATCGGAAGTGAAATGTCCGGGGGGGTTGAGAAAATTGTAGAGAAGAATATGAGAACAGTGAGTAATTGATATGAAAACGAAAGAACAATCAAGTCTGAGACAACTGACGGATATTTTACAAATAAATTATTTACTGTATGACTGTTAGATTTTACCAAAATATTCTGTCATGTTATATTAAAGTATATTTAGTTGTTCTTGCCTGTGTTTTCATTCACTACACTAATTTCAATGAGGTAATAGTAAGCGTTTATCCTAAACTGATTTCCAGACTATCTAGCCACCAATTTCTTGTAGTATAACCAAATATTAATTAGGCTAATAGTCAGTGAACTACAACATAGGACCAGGCATATATGTGCATCGGTTCAAGTTGCCATACCTCATTAACACAACAAAATGAACACAAAATTCATAGAAGTAGTTTATTCAGCGGTGGTAATACATGAAAAAAGATAGCATGTAAGGACATAGTACAGGAAGAGAGAATCAGTACGTAGAAAGGAAGAAATGAAGCGATTTTAACCTTATGGTTTAAAGGAAGACAAAGAGTGTATACTCTTACGCCATTATGATCAATTCTGAGCCATGTCACCAAGAGTCTCCAATCATTGGTTACGATAGTCACGCGGACCCCAACCAAGCAGTCTGCATCTACCACCATGGTTGAGACTAGAAGTTAATATCTTCACTGACTGATGCCACGTCTTGGCAATAGGCCATTAAGTTAAATTAACCAACTTTATTATTATTATTTCAATTCAAATCATTCATCTATCTAACTCATTCACTTATGTATATTGATTGTTGTTCTTCCATTGTCTGTTTATTATGATAGTCTATGGTGATTGATTGGAATAAAGTTGGACAGAATGGTATTGTTTGGTTTATTGATTGGCCAATGAAATGTCCAGAACAATTATGTTAACAATGTTTAATCAATATTTTAATGAATCTTAACTTGAATGATAAACAATTATTAGTCTATTGTTTATTGATCCATTATGTTTTGTTATAGTAAACGATTGTTTATTTAGTGTTAAATCTTTTTCATAGTGAAATATAAAACTTTTGTTTTATTATTCGTTAGTATACTTCGATCTGCACTAATCATGAGGACGTGAGACACATGACATTGATTATCACCCAGTGATTAATCAACTGTGACTACATGTCAGTCGCGGCCTAGATGGCTCAGTCTTAATGTCTCTGACTGTGAAACTGGGTGACACAGGATCGAATCCGCCAGCGAGTACCAGTTCCCTCAAGATTACAGGTATACCTTGCTGACGAGTGCCAAGTAGCACGAAACCCGGGTCCAAGGTTTCCTGTCGACTACCTTGTTGAATGAATTCATATTTGAACAGGAAAATGGGTAAATATATTTGATTGAAGACAATTTATTTGAACACATCAATACTGGTACAGCAGGGCACCAAACACATATGCCCAACACAAGTTACTTGATTTGTGTATGGGGTATGATACTAACCGGGTGCACAAACCGAAACAGGTGGTTTTCTTAAGGAGCCACATCCGGAACCTTCGACTTAAAGGTCTGATCCACAAGGCAGTGGACCAACGTCAGGAGATGCGGTCTCCCGGTAGTCGGTGACCAATAATTGGTTCATACACCATTTGTTCCCTCAGAACACTGGGGCACATATGCGCCACTGCTTTCAAATCAAGGTCTTCCAACTACCGTAGGTGGATCATCCATATCCATCAACCCGATTAAAGTGTCGGAAATTCGTCCCATTGATTCCCGTGTTCGTAGTAAAGGTTCAACCTATCTTGAGCATTCAGTTTCATTTTTAATTGTTGTAGCTGTGTAGCGTTATGCAATTTAACCAAGTCCATTAAATGTTCCGCCCTTTGAACTCTAGCGTTATGCTATGGTTTACTCTCTTGTCGGGTGTTTCGCATTAGCACAGAACAGTCTTTTTCTTCTGGTGTAACTAGAAGTAGTTGATCGAAATAAGATTTTAAATTACTTACTTACTTACTTACGCCTGTTACTCCCAATGGAACATAGGCCGCCGACCAGCATTCTCCAACCCACTATTCCCTGGGCATTCTTTTCTAGTTCCATCCAATTCTTGTTCATTTTTCTCATGTCCATCTCCATTTCTCGGAGCAGTGTGTCCTTTCGCCTTTCTCCTCTCTTCCTTTGGTCTTGAGGATTCCAAATGAGGACTTGTCTTATGATGACGCAGTTCGGTGCTTTCCTCAATGTGTGTTCTGTCCACTTCCAGCACTTCTTCCTGATTTCTTCCTCCGCTGGGATCTGGTTTGTTCTTTCCCACAGTTGGTTGTTGCTAATAGTGTCCGGTCAACGGATCTGAAGTATTTTGCGTAGACAACTGTTAATAAACACCTGTATCTTCTGGATGATGGCTTTCGTAGTTCTCCAAGCTTCTGACCCATACAGTAGAACTGCCTTGATATTTATATTGAAAATCCGGACCTTGGTGTTGGTCGACAGTTGTTTTGAGTTCCAGATGTTCCTCAGTTGTAAATATGCTGCTCTTGCTTTGCCGGTCCGCGCCTTCACATCTGCATCAGATCCACCCTGTTCATCAATGATGCTGCTCAAATATGTAAAGGGTTTTACATCTTCCTAATCTTCTCCGTCAATTGTGACTCGATTGATGCATGCTTTGTTGTATCGGAGAATCCTGCTTTTCCCTTTGCGTATATTCAGACCTACCGCTGTTGAGGCTGCTGCCACACTGTTCGTTTTCTCCTGCATTTGTTGTTGCGTTTGGGATTAAAGGGCCAGATCATCAGCGAAGTAAGATTTTAAGTTAGTACCAATTAATTCTGCGGTATAATTTGTCTTAAATTGCAGATATTTCATAAAGGCAAACCAATTGCGGACTGGTTGTAATGTTGCACCTACATCTGATTTGACACCCCCGGCGTTTAATATGTTACGTATTGTTCGGAATCTGTTCTTTGTAGAAGATTGAAAAACAAAATGGTAATGGTCGGTCTTATTTATTAATATAACAATAACATGAGTTCCTTTAACAAACTTCGGTGGTGGCCCGCGGTAGATAATAGTCCAGAGTTGTTCGTCCTCCGATGGTTCCGAGGCAATGTCTTCAAGTTTATTCAAGTTTATTCAAGTTTATCCATCACACTTTACAATGGTTCTTTCTAACAATTCGGATTCTTGATTTGTAATATCGGGGTTTAATAAGTCGCCATTAGAATAAAACCTCTCCATGCGTTTCTGTGGTCGCAGATTGTTCTTTATTACTGTCCACCTTCATCTGCAAACGCTTCCCTGAAGAAGCCATATAAGTGACAGGCACAGAATCGAAAAGGTGGTTCTGGTAGAGATGATCCTATGGACTGTGTAAAGTGATATGTGATACATCTCTTATATATGGCTTTCTTGTCTTCTGAATTTATATACAACCCGAGATTACTATTGGTGGATATGAGGACTGGAATGCGTTGAAGTGTAACGTCTGATTGGTGTTTAATGTGAATGTCGAGAGACGAACCACCAAGTAATTGTTTGAAGTCATTAACGTTCACTGGTGTTATTCTAGGTTGTTCCATTAAAGCGACGGATTTGTTGTTGAGGTTTTGTAAAAAGAACTTTGAATGGTTTCCGCTCATACGAACTGTACCAAATGTATAGTTTTGAGTGATGAGTTTGAGAATTAAGGTTTTACCAGTAGTAGTTGGACCTTCTATGCATAAGGTGTTGATACCAAATTTTTGTCTGTTCATAATAGCCTGAACGTCCGTGAAAAATCGATATGGACTAATGTTATTGGATATGAAAAAGTCTCTAAACCACGAGTTACTGTCTTCAAAAGTGGATAGATGTGTACATGTGTCTACATGATGGTTTTCGGACATCCATTGGTCCCATGGCGTACTCATTTGTTGTTTGGCGTTGTCTTCGTTAAAAACGTCTATGCATAATTGAGCGGTCTTTTCCCATTGTTTCCCGTATTCGTAGTAAAGGTTCAACCTATAATCAGCACTCAGTTTCATTTTTAATTCCCGTAGTTGTGTAGCGTTATGCAATTTAACCAAGTCCATTATATGTTCCGCCCTTTGAACTCTAATGTCATGCGATAGTATACTCTCTTGTCGGATGTTTCGCATTAGTACAGAACAGTCTTTTTCTTCTGGTGTAACTAGAAGTAGTTGATCGAAATAAGATTTTAAATTAGTACCAATTAATTCTGCGGTATAATTTGTCTTAAATTGCAGATATTTCATAAAGGCAAACCAATTGCGGACTGGTTGTAATGTTGCACCTACATCTGATTTGACACCCCCGGCGTTTAATATGTTACGTATTGTTCGGAATCTGTTCTTTGTAGAAGATTGAAAAACAAAATGGTAATGGTCGGTCTTATTTATTAATATAACAATAACATGAGTTCCTTTAACAAACTTCGGTGGTGGCCCGCGGTAGATAATAGTCCAGAGTTGTTCGTCCTCCGATGGTTCCGAGGCAATGTCTTCAAGTTTATTCAAAAATTCAGATAAACTGTCATCTTTGTGAATTGAGTCGTGAGCAGAGGTTTCTAGTAAGTTTTGGTTCGATGTAGATGGAGTAGGTGGAGGTGTTTCAATCCTGTCTATTAACTCTAAACTCTCTGTCTTTTTGTCTTCAGTCATAGGTTTCCATAAATCGATCCCTTTTTCTTCCTTTTTCATACGTTCAGTAAACCATGTAGATTCTTCATCACCGTCCATGGAATGATTTATTAATTGAGGTTTAAGGGAATCAATGTGTTGTAGCATATAGTCATTCTTTGGAGAAGAATTAGAAGTTGATTGTTTACGTAATTCTTCGAGTTTTGATAATTCTGCTTGAATTATTTTCGTTTTCAATTCTCTGCTTTCTCTTGATAGTCACACACTGCGATACTTGACCATGCGTAATAGGACGTTTCGTCGATGAAGATAGTGAGCTGAGCACAGAGTATCGGATATTTATACTAGTTGATTGAAAAAAATTAAGCCTGCCTCAGCTCTTCAACTCACAAAAGTGACTAATTAATACAGGTCAACTATGCAGACTAATTAACGGTTATCCATCTGAGCTGAGTCGTGAGAAAACGAAACGTTTATGAATAATGATTTATTGAACAAAGTTAGAAAAGCGTAATGTAGAATCAGAAGTGCTTAAGATTTGTGGAACTATAATTCGTTGTTGCATAAACGTGTTGATAGGATCTGCAGGTTCACTTTGAGCGTTCACTTTATAGTAAGATGTAAATCCATCTGTAGGGGTATAAACAGTTAAGTCGATAGAAGTTTGAAGAAGAACATGTGCCATCATTCTTGTAGCATTCTCAGAAGTATAAACGGGTTCGCTGTATGTTAGGAATAAAAAAATTGGATCAGCTGTAATGTCGGGAGAACACATCTCACCATTTGTATCACCTATGTAGATAGTACCTCCACCTTGAACTTGGACAACGTCATATGAATTAACCCAAGATTTAGCAGCCGAAATTTCAGACCCAAGTACGCCGCTGAAAAAAATAAATCGAACGGTAGATATCTATGATAGGTTGGCGAATGAACAGGGGTTCTATGAAACAGCCGCGCTCTTCTGACCTGACTGGAAATAAACGGCTGTTTAACCATAATATCCGGTTCCAATAAGACAAATAAACCAAATAATGAGACCATACCTTATGAAGCGGAAAAGCCGAAAATATAAATTTTTCAACTTTCTAAATCAGTTTTGTGTTAGGGATGCTAGACTCAAACTTAACGACTATTTATGCACCTCTGAATATCTAGAGGTTGCTGAGGTTGACGCTGGATTTGCACCAGTCAATTTTCTAGTTGTCAACATTTTGACAGGAAAATTCACATAAAGCAGTTCATCAAAATCAGATGTTTTCTAACCACCTCTTCCATCTTCATCTACGGGAGTTAATAAATCGTATGTTGGATTTAATGTAATCATGATAAGAAAAGGTTGTGCAATGATGACAGTAAAATGTCGAGAATGATTTTGAAAGCAATCACTGAATTGTCAAGCAAGATTGATAAACTGATAGCTGTAAATTAACGCTTATCCATGGGTGTAATGGACAGGCGTCCCAAGCAATTAGATAATTCAACTATTGCTTTCCGATTAAGAACGCATGAGGAGTTGAGTTCTTTTGAGGTTGCCTTAGATGAGCTAAAGTTCCGTGATCAGTTCATAAGTTGTGACAGGTGTTTGAACAAATTTTAGGTGGCTAGATTGCACGATCTCATATGTGATGACACTCGTAAATCAGCTAAAGCCTGTCTACGTTACCTGTTGTCGCCGCAACTGGCGAACACGTACACTTTACACGGCACGAAAAGTAAATTTGGTATTAGTAAGTACAAATTTTACCGGACGGTTCAAAGTAAGTCCACACTACTGTATTAATATATTTGTAGATGTTCTGTGTTCCCGATTCCGAATTGCGACTTGTCTAGAAAAAGAAGTAATACACACCATGGATGTTGCAAGCCAGGCTTTCTTGCATGACGCAAGAGATAAAGTAAATAAGCATGGATGGCAATCCAAAGAAAGGGTGAACTAAAAGCACTTTACATGTTTGGTATAATACATATTCCACTTTTCATATTACTTTGTGATCAATATTTATACTGATACAACTTTTTTCTTGTCAGTAAAAAAAAATTATTTCTTGTTCATCTTGTTTGTCATACCGTTGGTACGTCATCGACGTTTTACATATCTTGATATTTGCTTATAAACTAAAGAATATTTTTGTTGTAGAACATTGTGAATGATAGTTCAACGTCTATGTAACCTGTTCACGTTACAAATCAATGAAAAAAAAACTTTGTTTAAATCAATTATTTGTAATTTTATTTACCGTAATTAATATTTCTGTGTGTTACGAATCTGTTGTGTTTTTTTTTATTACAGCGATAGATCAGTTAACGTTAATTTTATTTGGCACTGCATAATTAAAAATAATAATAATGTAACATCGTAATAAAACCTATATGGTTGTATTGTCGCCTGGTTTTTCCGTGGTTTCTGTAGCACGTTTTGGAGAAGTATTGCGTCAAAACGAGTTTGTAAAAACTTATAAGATTATGGTGAAATTTTGGGGAAAAGCACAAAATTCAGGAGAAATCTTTGAGAAAAACGCAAAATTTCCCCAAAATTGTGTAAAATTTCGGGGTTTTATAAATAAATATAAGCCTACTTCCCCAAAGTGTAATAAGATTCTGGGAAAATTTTTGGGTTTTTGTGTCATTTCCACAAAGTTCACAATAGCGGCTTCCCCAAAATTGGGAGATTGGGTTGGGATCACAGATCAAGTTACGAAGCAACAACAGAGCTAACATGTACACTACAAAACAGAGAATGCTAAATTAATGCTCCTAGCAGTTATTTTGCGCTTTTTCATGCAGCAAAAGATGACTTAAATATGGAAAAACTTAATACTCATACGACCCAACACACCCAGGGCAATTGAAATACGGAATGACCGCCTCTAGTCAGGCAATTCAAGGCCTTTTAAACGAAACGGCGGGCAGATTTGAAGGAGCCTACCTTTTTTTCCTTGCCAACGGTCTAAACTGTATTCGTTTACATCAGATCACAAGGTTATCATAATCTGACGCTTGTATTAATGTTGGTTAGTCTCTCTCGCATTCCATAACAAATGTGCATGCTTTATTTTGCGATCCACTGCTACAAGACACGGAAGCCTGTTAGGCGAAAGCTTCTCTTCCGTCCGTGCAAAGTAGTGCATGGAGGACAGCTGACAGATGCATTCCAAGTAAGGACCGGAGTCAGACAAGGCTGTTTACTCTCTCCCTTCCTTTTTCTCTGGTGGTCGACTGGATTATGAAGACCTCAATATCTGAAGGAAAACACGGAATACAATGGACAGCTCAGAATCAATTAGACGATTTGGACTTCGCAGATGACCTAGCCCTCCTATCCGTACACACGAACAGATGCAGATGAAGACAGCCAGTGTAGCAGCAGTCTCTGCATCAGTAGGCCTCAGCATACACAAAGGGAAAACTAAGGTCCTCAAATTCAAAGCGGAGAACAGCAATCCAATCACTCTTGATGGCGAAACTCTGGAAGATGTAGAATCCTTCACATATCTGGGAAGCATCATCGATGAACAAGGAGGCTCAGATGCAGACGTAAAGGCGAGGATCGGCAAAGCAAGGGTCGCATTCCTACAATTGAAGAACATATGGAACTCAAAACAACTTTCAACCAATATCAAAGTGAGAATCTTCAATACGAACGTCAAGGCAGTTCTACTGTATGGAGCTGAAACTTGGAGAACTACAACAACCACAATCAAGAAAGTACAAGTATTTATAAATAGCTGTCTTCGCAAGATACTCAACATCCATTGGCCGGATACCATCAGCAACAGCCTTCTGTGGGAGAGAACAAAGCAACTTCCAGCTGAAGAAGAAATTAGGAAAAGACGATGGAAATGGATAGGACATACATTACGCAAATCGTCAAACTGCATCACGAGGCAAGCCCTAACTTGGAATCCTGAGGGGAAGCGAAAAAGAGGAAGGCCAAAAAACACATTGCGTCGGATAATAGAAGCAGATATGAAAACGACGAATTACAACTGGACGGACCTAGAAAGGATTGCCCAGGACAGGGTTGGATGGAGAACGCTGGTGAGCGGCCTATGCTCCTTCACGAGGAGTAACAGGCGTAAGTAAGTAAGTAAGTTCTCTTCCGTCCACAACCATTTGTTGAAAAAAGACAGTGGTATTCTTCCACTCTGAATTAATTTAAATCCATTCAGTCGGTTTTCTGTAACAAGGATAGTAGGTTGATGGACCTATGTCAATCCTTACAGTTCATTTTCCAGTGAAGTTCCAGTTTCTACTTGAAGCTGTTCTTCCATCGATCACTAACCTCAATCCTTGTAAGATACTGGACCGTGATAGGCTACATACAAGACTGCCATCATCTCTCGTGGACATTATTCCAAGATGACTCACGATGCTCTTCAACATATCCCTTACACTCGCTCAATTTCCTGGAGATTGGAAAGATGCTATAGTCAGTCCTATATTTAAGAATGGTCAGAGACAGATCGTATCTAACTAGAGATCTGTCAGTCTAACCAGATTAGTATTTGAGTTACCTGAAAAGATCATTCGGGTTAAGTTACTAAGTCACATAGATTCGTACAATCTGTTAACTCCTGAGCAACATGGGTTTTGAAACAAGCATTTATGCCTAACCAACTTACTTGTCGCAAGAGAGGACAGGACAGCGGCCCCAGATAACGGTCTGTCTGTCAACGTGGTATTCATAGACTTTGGCAAAGCGTTTGACAAGGTTTCTCACTTGGGTCTTATGCAGAAGCTCTCGAGCTTCAGAACAACAGGTGCTGTACAGGAATGGATAGTAAACTTCTTATATGACCTCAGACAGAGAGTGGGGGTTAGTAGAACACTATCCGAATGGTAGCTGGTCAAAAGTGGAAGAACAGTTTCCTCAGTCGCTTATACAGGTCTAATAGCTGATATTTCGATTTGATTAGGATACATGTTTTTAGCGGTACACGTAGAGTAGACTTCGCAAAAATAGTTTGATAAAATCTCAGCTTTTGCCAGATTGAGATAGTAAATCTGAATTTTCGTGTAACAGTAACGGGGGAATACCATCACTACGTTTTAATCTCCATTTAACGTACGAAAACAAACGTTTCGGACAAGTACGGCTTGTAGAATCCAAACCACGGTTTGGTTTGAAGAATAGCCTCTAGGTA